AAAAGTCAAGAAGACAAAACAACAGAGAGAGGGAGAGAAAAGCAAAGCGATCGATGGATCGCGATCGCAAGGGAGAGAGAGAAGGCGAAAGAGAGAGGCTTTTCGAAGTCGTTTGGGTGTTCGACTGGAGGTCTTCGATCTTCGACTGGATGGAGCTTCGACCAAGTTCTCTCTTGCTCTTCCCTCTTTCATTTCTTTTATTGTCTGTAAAAAGCCGTGTCCGAGAGAGAATAGGCGAATCCGACACAGATCCCACACCCGCACCCGTGTCGTGTCGTGTCAACACGGGTACTTCACTCCAAAGTGCCAAGTCCATGTAACACAGCCCTCAAATATTGGGATTGGTGGGCATAAAATTATCAAAATATTCAAAAGCTAGCATTCTACATCTGTAAAACAGCCTGCTTTGCTGCTTTGATCCATTGATGGGATTTATGGTTCAACAATTTCTAATTTTTGAAAGAATATGGTGTAGAAGGTTCCCTAAAGAGCACTCAAAAACTTTTGACACAAATATTAGTTTCAAACATCATGATGGATGTGCAAGTCTTTTCAATCAAACAAAAAAGAATGATTTTCATCATTTGTAAGTAAACCTTAAATAAATAAGCTGTAAAGAAAAAAAATGCCCACTATATATTGACTAAGATGTAATTTGTTAACATATACAGAACTCACTTAAACTACACTCAATTAAGTATACATTTTCATACCGCGCGCTTCCACTTTGATCGCTTACTCCTCTTTGGCCTAGAATAATCTGGAGCCGGTTTGCTTCCATTAGAAGCATACACCTCATCTAGAACCTCTTCATCCTATAGAAAATTGATGTCTAACCCAGATTAAAAAGCAGTAAGCATTTACAACTAATAAATAAAAATTGCAAACTCTGTTAGATTTCACTTATTGTGGAGTTTATAAAGTTGGGGATCTACTTTACCTTCCATTACGTAAAACACCAAGTCCTTGAATTCATGTAGACATGTCTAAATATATCTTTCAACTTTAATTATGCCTTTTTTTAATTTTTTGGTCATGAAAATCAAGAAATCCAACCTAACATTGAAAGTATACTGATTAATTGCTACAAAATCAGGCATTATCATGTATAAGAAACAAAATTCCTCAGAATGATTAAAAGCTTTTTAGTTAATGCTACCTTGATGCAAATAGTTAGGTAAAATGATATTCTTGACTTTCTCAAAAGTCTTATAGGAAACAATTTGTGGAAGAAGTATAGAAAAAGAATCCTTCAACTCTTTGCATCACCAAAAAAACTGCAACTCATACACAAGGGACATGGTTAAGTTGCTACTTTAGTTAATGTCATTAAAAACAAAATAAAAATTTGTTACTTTCCTTCACTGGTAATTCAAAACAAGCATATCCTAATGATTCACCATTATTACTCATGAGTAATCATTCACCGATACGTTTTCAAATTACATTTATCCAAAAATTTTATTTGCCATAGTAGTCTCTATTCCATATTTGGACGTTTAATTTCTAGAATTGTTGTAGACTAAATGTTTACAAACATATACTTGTGTTGTGTCAAGTTGTTAACTACTACTTTAGATATTGGGGAACAGTCAAGTCTAATAATATCAACAACCCAAAATCTCTAGGTAATTTTATTTATAAACATAGTAATAATATTAAATCAGCTAAACAATCTCCACACACAGCACAGCTTCCCGAAATCATATCACCTGGGAACTACTACTCGGTACCGACTCAGAAGACTGAGTCAGGACCCCCCCCCAAAAAAAAATGTACTTAGGTAATTTTATTTTTATTTTGAAAAATGAAGAAGAGGCGTACACGTGCGGGAGGTGAGGGACCCAAAAAAAACATATACTTAGGTAATTAAATTTTCGAGTAAACTCATAAGAATTCCCAAAAGTTATGAAGATTTTTATAAGTAAATTATCATAAGTTTAGATTTGTCTCTAAAAGATTATTTTTAGGGACCAAATCTAACTAGTCCCTAAATATTTCTTGTACTAGGCAATTTACTGTCATTAGTTGAGTAGTAGGCAATTTACTGTCATTAAGATCTCAAGAGTTTGATAATATACACACACAAGTTCAATCCATCGACGAAGAAGAGGATGATTTAACGAGAGAAAACAGAGATAAACCCAATCTGACAACATATGGAGAGTTTGATACATAAGGCCAACTGAGAGACGATTCATTCATCATTCTTATTCTTAGTGAGAGAAAACAGAGAAGAAGGCTGTATATATATATATATACACACACACACAAGTTCAATCCATGTAATAATCAGAAATTGGAAATCAAAAAAAGAAAAATGATAGTGTAACACCTGAAAACTCACTGAAACAACAAATTAACAGCATACGAAATACAGTATTGATCGAACTATGCGAGAAAACAATTCTTCATCTCCAACACGCATTAGATTGGATATACAATACATATATACACACACAAGTTCAATCTATGTAAAGAATTCTTCAATTCCAACATGCATTAAGATATATATATACACACACAAAAAGTTCAATCTATGAAATAATAAGAAATTGAAAGTTCGAATTGGAGCTCTTACAGGTCGATTACGGAGATCAATTAGAGAGAGAAAGAAGCGCCAACATTTGAAGAAGATTGAGCTCCTAATCTACCTTGGAGCTCCCAACTTTAGGGCTGAAGATTGAGCAAACCGTTGAAGTGAGAATAAGCGAGTTAGGGCCCGACTTTTTAATTGTTAAAATAATAAAAATATTTGGTCTCAAAATATTTTTAATGGATAATGACGAAAATATTTGGTCCTAAAGATGATAATAATATATTAGCAACCAAATTTATTAGTTTTAAAAAATTATGTAAATATTAGGTGAGAATATTAAGACTAGATTTGGCAAGTCCTAAAAAATTTAAAAAGTTAAAAAGTTATACAAAAAGAAAAAAAGTCATTATTATTTATAAATAAAAAATATTAAAAAAATATTTTATACATTTTTGTAATGCAAAAGTTTTCATTACACTGTCAGCCGTACTGTCCTAGCAAGAAGGTAGGTCATACACTTTTTGGGCAAAAAAAAAATTACATATGTAAAGCCACAAAGTTTGATGGTAATATTAGGCCCTTGGGGGCCCACTAAGGGTTCCGTTTTGATAATCTGAACCGTGCAATATGTAGAACTTGTCGAGACTATATGCCTGTAAAAAATCACGTTAATCGAATATCGTTAACGATATGATCAAATTAGTTTTGTATAAACAAAACGGATGGTGTGATAGTTAACTGTTGAAAAAAAAACTAATCCGGTTATATAGCTATCGATATTCGATCAACGTGATTTTTTACAGGAATATAAAACTCGACGAGTTGTACATATTGAACGGTTCAGATTATTAAAATGGGACCTGTGGTGGCCCCCATGGACCGACCATCATTGTCCAAACGCTTTGCCCCGAAGGAGGTAATAATTTACTGTGTAAGACACATTGCCCCCAGCAAGACAGCCATACTACCTACTCAACTTTCTTCCCCTATACCTTTTATTTATACAATTTTTTATGACACATTTTTTTCGTAAAAAGACAAAAAGTTAACTCAAACATCCATATTTTTTTCCTTCTTTTTAGTCCAAAAAGATAAAAAGTGCACTTATTTAGAACACGCCAAACAACCCCTTAGTATAAAATGTTATATTTTTTTATTTTATAAAACATCTCCAAAACTTAATTGCTCTAAATTGTTTAATTCTCTTAAATCCAACTATTTTAAATAATTGTTTTAATTATCAGACTTAATTACTTTAAATAAATGTTATTTCAAATTTCACAGGATGCAAACCACTAGTATTTGTGCTCAATCAATATTCCACTGCTAGCCCATTGTTTTTTCCTCTTGTTGCAAATCGTAAAAATTAAAAGTGGCATAGGAATCCTTTGTGGGGTCTCCATGAAAACAATAGGGGTGATCATGGTTTGGATTGATTCAGATTGAGATTAAATCAGGACTAATTTGTTATCTACGGTTCTTGAAAAATTAGAACCAATTCAATTCGTTTAAATAATGGAACCAGGGTAGGTCACTTGAGAGAATGGTGTAGTGAGAAAGCTTTACCGCCGGTTCTAAGCCCTTCGACCGGCGATCAAAGCACCAAGATTATGACCGTTAACGCGGACGATAGGAGCAAGGGAGGCCCAAGCTTAATTGCTCCCGTTTTGGGATAAGAACCCAAGGAAACATCAGGGGAGAATTTTGGGCCTTGGATGCTTGTGGACAGAAAAGGTAAAAGGCCAGTCAATAAAGGTCACATTAATGGGCCTTATATTAGAGCCCAAGGGAAAGAAGGCCTGAAGCCAAGAAAGGTTACACCATTTAAAGAAAATGGATATAAGGCCCCTACATCAGCCCAAGTTATAGAGAGACGACCTCAGAAGGAATCTGATGATCAAGTTCATATTAACAATTCAAATGGGCACACTGAGCAAAGTAACCCACGTGATGGTCAGGGAAATAGTATCCTCATTGTTAGAGGTAGGTCTTTGCACACTAGCTCAAACCCTTTTGATAGCCTTCAGGAGATGGACCATGCCAGTGGAGATGATAGCTGTATTGATGCACACAACACCTGTAATGGAGTGGTTGAGGAAGTGATGTCCTCTGTTATTCTGAAGCCCATAGCTGCTATTTCCATTGTTAAGCCTATATCTCTGTCCCTAGAACTTGGAAACCTTCCCTTCCCCCCCCCTTCTCTAGTTTCCTTAGATATCCCTATCTCCCACCAAGTGTTACCAGTGTTGAGTGACCATGGAAGCCCATGATGTGATCCAGCACCGGTTGAGTTGCAACCAAATGTATATTGCGATAGACCCAGTGATCGAAGCTACTCACCTAATCGTAATAGAGTGGTGGATAGAAGAAGCTCGGGTAAAGATAGATCTTAACTTGATGAGCTATTCTGATAGGCTCAACAAAAGCCATGGTGAACGATTGACTTCGTGTCAGGAAAATTATGGGGACTCCTGATTTTTGTCCGCTGCCACTGTACCTTAACTTATCATCCATGAAGATGCTTGTGTGGAATTGTCATGGGGCCGGTAATAGTGTTTTCAAGCGCACCATCCGTGACCTTTTGAAGAGCCATAACCCTTCCATTATTGTTCTTATAGAGACTAAGGTTCAACTCAGTTCTATGGGCCTTTTTTTCAACAATCTTGGTTTTGCTGCTTCTACTTTTGTTGACCCAGTGGGTAAGTGTGGAGGTATATGGCTCCTTTGGGACCCATTCAAAGTGATTGTTTTGGCTCTGGATGCTAACCCCCAAGTTATCTACGTGAAAATTAAGCGTGACCATTTCCCTAATTGGATTCTTTCGGTAGTGTACGCTAGACCCAATCCTACAAAGCGTGATACTCTGTGGGAGAATTTAGAATCCATGGAGGATAACATGTCTGAACCATGGCTGGCTGTAGGTGATTTTAACGATTTTGCTAGCCAAAATGAAAAAAGAAGTTTTGTGCCTTCACACAGTCATGCTAGGACCAGGAAATTTGCTGCCAGGTTAAACATGTGTAATCTCATGGATTTGGGCTGCTCTGGTCCTCATCTCACCTGGTCCAATGGGCGTCAGGGTATGGCTAACACTCTTGAAAGATTAGATCGTGTTGCTTGCAATACTGAATGAAGAGTTCTTTTTCAAGAAAAGGGCAGTTAGAAATCTCCTCCGAACTTATTTTGACCATTGCCCTCTGATTGTTTTTACTAAAGATACATATCTTCCTAACCCCTCTCTTAGACCTTTTAGAATGGAGGCTGCTTGGTTTCTTGATAACAGTTTTAAATCTCTGGTCCAAGAATCCTGGCAAGAAACTAACAATTCTATTCTTGAAGCCATCCCTTGTATTTCCTTTAAAGCTTCTTCTTGGAACAAATCTATTTTTGGTAACATTTTTTGTAAAAAGAGATGGCTTCTAGGTAGAATTGAAGGTATTCAAAAGGCTCAATCTTGTAAGTTCTCCAATAATCTCTTTATTCTTGAAAAAGAGCTTGTGAGAGAATATAACAATGTTTTGTATCAAGAGGAGTTACATTGGTTTCAAAAGTCTAGAGCTAAGTGGATTACTATGGGAGAAAGGAATACCAGGTTTTTCCATGTTTCGACTTTAGCTCAAAGAAGGAACTTGAGGGTGGTTACCCCCAAGGATGAGAATGGTTGTTGGATTTCTAACCCTATTGACCTGAAACAACATGTGGGTAATCACTTTGAGGGTATGTTCACTTCTCCCTCCTTGGTGGAAGGAGAGGTGTGGAACTGTGATTCTATGACCTCTTTCTTGACTAAAAAGAATGCTGATTTGTGTAAACCTCTTTCTAGTGAGGAGATCTGGAAAGCCATGAAATCTATTAAAGGGTTCAAAGCCCCTGGGTGTGATAGTATTCACGCAATTTTTTATCACTCGTATTGGGATATTATGGGCACTTCTGTGTGTAACTTCATCAAGTCCTGTTTTAGCTCTCGTGGTGTCCCTCCAGAAATTAATACCTTTATTCCCAAAGTTGAACACCCTGAAACCATTAAACAATTTAGACCTATTAGTTTGTGCAATGTGTTGTATAAAACCCTCACCAAAGTTCTTGTGAATAGGCTTAGACCTCTCCTCGATAGAATTGTTAGCCCTAATCAAAATAGCTTTGTCCATGGCAGATCCACCAATGATAATATCATTATTGCCTAAGAAATTATCCATACCCTTAGATCCAAAAAACGAAAAAGAGGGGAGATGATTTTCAAAATAGACTTGGAGAAAGCCTATGATAATGTGTCTTGGTCATTCATTTGTGAAACCTTGATGGAACTTAATCTTAACTTGCATTGGGTGGAGTTGATCATGAATTGTGTTACATTTGTGAATTCCACTATTCCTTGGAATGGGGAACAGATTTGTGATTTTCATCCGAGGAAAGGACTCTGCCAGGGTGACCCCCTCTCCCCATATCTCTTTGTTTTATGTATGGCGCAACTTTCGAACTTGATTTCTTGATAAAGTCAATTGTGGTAATTGGAAAGGGATTAAAGCCTTCATTCGAGGCCTTGAAATTTCTCATTTATTTTTCGCAGATGACCTTTTGCTATTTGCGAAAGCTGATACCAAAAATTGTGATACCATTATGGAGGTCCTCAGCCAATTCAGTACATACTCAGGGCTAAGAGTGAATTTGGCTAAGTCCAAACTTTTTGTGTCTCCGAATCTGTGCAATTCTAAAGCTAGGAATTTGAGTGCTTTGTGTGGCATTCCTCTCGCCCAAGACCTGGGGAAATACCTTGGGATACCTCTTCTCCATAACAGAGTTTCTAGAGCTCATTTCTCTTTTATTTTTGATAAGCTTCAAGGGAAGCTCTCAAGTTGGAAAACGAATATGTTGTCTTTAGCCGGCAAAGCCACGCTTATTACTTCTGTGACAGCGGCTCTACCTACTTATACTATGCAGACCATGAAGTTGCCTATTAATGTGTGCAATGATCTGGACAGAATCAACCGTAACTTCCTTTGGGGAGTGGTGGGAAATTTGTAAAAAGTTCACGTGGTTAAGTGGAATACAGTGTGTTTGAGCAAAAACAAGGGTGGCTTGGGCATTAGAAAGGCTAAACACTACAATTCTGCCTTACTTGCTAAGTTGGGTTAAAAATTACTTAATGGTGGTAATTGTTTATGGACCAGAGTGCTTAAGGCCAAATACCTCCAAGAGGGTTCTCTTCTTGATTATTCTAGTAAGAGAATAACTTCCCACACTTGGAAGGGTATTCTTCAAACTAGAGAGACTCTGGTCAAAGGTTGCAAGTGGTGTATTGGGGATGGTAATCACATTTCTATTTGGTTTGATTGGGATGTAGAGAGAGTAATTTTGCATCACTTTTTCCCGAACCACCTCTTATCAATTCTGAAACTGTTAATACACTTTTGGATGAAGAAAGTGGTTGTGATATCACTAAATTGAACTCTAAGCTTCCTAAGGAGGCAGTTGATCTTGCTGTCAGGGTTCACTTACCTAGTTTTGTTATTTATCTGGATATTCTTCATTGGCATGGTTCTTGTTCAGGTGATTTTTCTACAGCTTCAGCTTATGAGCTAGTTGCCAATCATGGGATTGAAACTAGTAACTGGCTTTGGTTGTGGAAGTTGAAACTCCCCCAAAAGATTAAGGGCTTTGTGTGGCTTGTGTTGCATGGCAAGATCCTCTCAAACAGCCTCTGTGTTAAGAGAGGGTTGTCTGAATCTGCTGCGTACAGCAGATGTGGTAACCTATGGGAGGATATTGATCATATCTTTAGAGACTGCCCTAAAGCAGTTGATATTTGGAGAAATTTGGGTTGTTTGGAGTGACTATATAAGGATCAACATGTTCCTTTAATTTTTTGGTTGGAATCAAATCTTCGGAAAAAACTCTCTCCTATTTGGGATCCTACTCTTTTTGTTTCTACTATTTGGCAAATTTGGAAAGACCGAAATAATTTTTTTTTTGAAAATGTTGAACTCCTTTGGGATCAAAGTATTTTACTTTTATGTAGATATGCATCTGATATAAAGGATACCTTTAGATCTACTATTCTTCATCCTAGTAATTGTGGTGTGATCATTAACTGGTGTCCTCCATGGGTAGGTAAACTGAAGTTGAATACTGATGGCAGCACATATTGTAACGTCCTTAAAATATTATATAATCCCCACATCTAACAGTTCTATATAAATGATAGATAAATCACATTTCCATGCATACATCAGAGTTAATATTACAAAGAGTATTTCATATAAGTTACAAATGTTTACACAAATAATAGAACGCCCTGCGGGCTTACATCTTTCCAAGTTGTTACTTGGTTACACAAAAGAAGAGTTCTAACTCTTTTACAAATGAAGCCCTCGGCTCGCATTTACATGTAACCAACAAAATAAATAACAAAGCAGAGTCTTCAACTCTTAAGGTTCCCAAGCAAAGATCTTGGAGGCATTGCTACAAAATCAGGCATTATCATGTATAAGAAACAAAATTCCTCAGAATGATTAAAAGCTTTTTAGCTAATGCTACCTTGATGCAAATAGTCAGGTAAAATGATATTCTTGACTTTCTCAAAAGTCTTATAGGAAACAATTTGTGGAAGAAGTATAGAAAAAGAATCCTTCAACTCTTTGCATCACCAAAAAAACTGCAACTCATACACAAGGGACATGGTTAAGTTGCTACTTTAGTTAATGTCATTAAAAACAAAATAAAAATTTGTTACTTTCCTTCACTGGTAATTCAAAACAAGCATATCCTAATGATTCACCATTATTACTCATGAGTAATCATTCACCGATACGTTTTCAAATTATATTCATCCAAAAATTTTATTTTCCATAGTAGTCTCTATTCCATATTTGGACGTTTAATATCTAGAATTGTTGTAGACTAAATCCAAACATATACTTGTGTTGTGTCAAGTTGTCAACTACTACTTTAGATATTGGGGAACAGTCAAGTCTAATAATATCAACAACCCAAAATCTCTAGGTAATTTTATTTATAAACATAGTAATAATATTAAATCAGCTAAACAATCTCCACACACAGCACAGCTTCCCGAAATCATATCACCTGGGAACTACTACTCGGTACCGACTCAGAAGACTGAGTCAGGACCCCCCCCAAAAAAAATATACTTAGGTAATTTTATTTTTATTTTGAAAAATGAAGAAGAGGTGTACACGTGCGGGAGGTGAGGGACCCAAAAAAAACATATACTTAGGTAATTAAATTTGCGAGTAAACTCATAAGAATTCCCAAAAGTTATGAAGATTTTTATAAGTAAATTATCATAAGTTTAGATTTGTCTCTAAAAGATTATTTTTAGGGACCAAATCTAACTAGTCCCTAAATATTTTTTGTAGTAAGCAATTTACTGTCATTAGTTGAGTAGTAGGCAATTTACTGTCATTAAGATCTCAAGAGTTTGATAATATACACACACAAGTTCAATCCATTGACGAAGAAGAGGATGATTTAATGAGAGAAAACAGAAATAAACCCAATCTGACAACATATGGAGAGTTTGATACATAAGGCCAACTGAGACGATTCATTCATCATTCTTATTCTTAGTGAGAGAAAACAGAGAAGAAGGCCGTATATATATATATATATATATACACACACACAAGTTCAATCCATGTAATAATCAGAAATTGGAAATCAAAAAAAGAAAAATGATAGTGTAACACCTGAACACTCACTGAAACAACAAATTAACAGCATACGAAATACAGTATTGATCGAACTATGCGAGAAAACAATTCTTCATCTCCAACATGCATTAGATTGGGTATACAATACATAGATACACACACAAGTTCAATCTATGTAAAGAATTCTTCAATTCCAACATGCATTAAGATATATATATACACACACAAAAAGTTCAATCTATGAAATAATAAGAAATTGAAAGTTCGAATTGGAGCTCTTACAGGTCGATTACGGAGATCGATTAGAGAGAGAAAGAAGCGCCAACATTTGAAGAAGATTGAGCTCCTAATCTGCCTTGGAGCTCCCAACTTTAGGGCTGAAGATTGAGCAAACCGTTGAAGTGAGAATGAGCAAGTTAGGGCCCGACTTTTTAATTGTTAAAATAATAAAAATATTTGGTCTCAAAATATTTTTAATGGATAATGACGAAAATATTTGGTCCTAAAGATGATAATAATATATTAGCAACCAAATTTATTAGTTTTAAAAAATTATGTAAATATTAGGTGAGAATATTAAGACTAGATTTGGCAAGTTCTAAAAAGTTAAAAAGTTATACGAAAAGAAAAAAAGTCATTATTATTTATAAATAAAAAATATTAAAAAAATATTTTATACATTTTTGTAATGCAAAAGTTTTCATTACACTGTCAGTCGTACTGTCCTAGCAAGAAGGTAGGTCATACACTTTTTGGGCAAAAAAAAAAATTACATATGTAAAGTCACAAAGTTTGATGGTAATATTAGGCCTTTGGGGGCCCACTAAGAGTTCCGTTTTGATAATCTGAACCGTGCAATATGTAGAACTCGTCGAGACTATATGCCCGTAAAAAATCATGTTAATCGAATATCGTTAACGATATGATCAAATTAGTTTTGTATAAACAAAATGGATGGTGTGATAGTTAACTGTTGAAAAAAAAACTAATCCGGTCATATAGCTATCGATATCCGATCAACGTGATTTTTTACAGGAATATAATACTCGACGAGTTGTACATATTGAACGGTTCAGATTATTAAAATGGGACCTGTGGTGGCCCCCATGGACCGACCATCATTGTCTAAACGCTTTGCCCCGAAGGAGGTAATAATTTACTGTGTAAGACACATTGCCCCCAGCAAGGCAGCCATACCACCTACTTAACTTTCTTCTCCTATATATTTTATTTATACAATTTTTTATTACACATTTTTTCATAAAAAGATAAAAAATTAACTTAAACATTCATAATTTTTTCCTTAACTTTTTAGTCCAAAAAGATAAAAAGTGCACTTATTTAGAACAAGCTAAACAATCCCTAAAATACATGGTGAAAATATATTTTTGTAAACACGCCTTTAACTTAATTTGAAAAATTTTGCGAATGTAGGGCATAGTTTGGAAAATACTATGGGGCGTTCATTTTGGGAAAAGCCTCGATAGCCTCATGTCACGTGCCGCAGAAAAAACCGATGATGCTACTCTTCTCACAAACCACAAATCTCTCTCTCTCTCTGTACCTTCCACCCTTCGCTTGAGCTTTAACAATGGCGGAACACGACCCCATCACTCCTCCATTACCCAAACACCGCCTCTCTCATCTCTCCGACGAGCCTCAACTTATTATACCCGTGGACGACGATTGGGCTTCCGAAGAACCCGCAAATCGAATTCACAACTACGAAACCGATCCAATTAACAATACCCATTCACTGATTGAGAACCCATTTGAGTTTCTCGGTGCCGGACCTCTCTCCGTGCCTTCCTCGACCACTATGGATCCCTTTCGCAACCACACGCCGCAAATTGAAGGGGTTTATGAGTGGTTGAAGATCCTGATTTGTGTGCCTATTGCGATTGTTCGGCTCGTGTTGTTTGGTTTGTCTTTGTTGATTGGGTATGTGGCTACAAAGTTTGCTCTCCATGGTTGGAAGGATAAGCAGAACCCAATGCCCAAATGGAGGTGTAGAGCAATGTGGGTTACTCGAATTTGTGCTCGGTGTGTCCTCTTTTCTTTTGGGTAAGTCAATTGTGTTGATAATTTAGTTTCTTTTTAAGTGTGTGGATACATATTTATGATTTCATATGAAAGCATTTATCTTGCAATTAGATTGTGAACATTTTTAACTTATTTATTCACATATGATATTAGGAGCCAATGAATTATAATCATAATAATGAAGATTTATAAATTACATAATCAATTGAAAGAAATTCGTAAAGTGCGAGAAAAGGGCAGAGTGAGGAATCTTCCATCAAGGGCCAGAAGAAAGGCATTGGCGGATTTCGCACATGCGAATGGTGGGTGGGGTCATGTGTAAAAGGATTAAATAATTATTAAATATAAATCAATAAATTAAAAATTATAGAAGCCTAGTCTAAATTTATATATGCTATCCACTTTTTGTAAGCATATGGTCTTGTTTAGTGGAATTTATTTGGGTTGATAATTGAGTTTCTTAAGTTTGTTGATACATATTTATGATTTTATATGAATGCATTTATCTTGCAATTAAACATGAACATTTATTTATTCATATGTGATGTTGTGGACTAATGAACTATAATCATAATAATAAAGATCAAATATATCATATAATTAATACAAGGAAACTCCTAGAGTGGGAGAGACGGGCAGAGCAAGGAATCTTTAATCAGGGGCCGGAAGAAAGGCATGAGCAAATTTTGCACAAGCGAATGGTGGGTTGGGTTGAGTGTAAAAGGATTAGATAATTATTAAAATAAAAATCAATATAAGACAATGGCTAATAAAAAATTATAGAAGCCTAGTCTGAATTTACAGATGCTATCCACTTTTTATAAGCATATGGTCTTGTTTGGTAAAATTTATTTGGACTTTATATATATATATTGTATTGAGAATATGTTTTTTAACTTCTATTGTTGCTATTTTTTTCGTTTTAATAATAATTATCTATACTATTATATTAAGGGAAGGCTGGACTTGGTGTCCAAGCCTTTGCTTGCTTTTTCTTATGCCACGTGTCTCTCATTTTTTATGTCATGTGTCCCTCATTTTTTTAGTTGAAAAAAAAAAATTAGACAAATGAGAGGAGTGGGACTTGGACCTTAGTCCCTGAGCCTATTGAAGAAGGTTCTTACCACTTGAGTGGCACACAATATATGGTAAAACAAGAAAATAGAATTTCCTAAAAAGTGAATTATGGAAATCAAAACCAAGTAGAGTGAATGTTATCCTTTGTGGGTACTTGTATCAAGCTCAATACGTGGCAAGCCCTACAGGTGCCACATCACCAAAACCCCACCCACGTGGCAGACCAGTAAGGCACCACGATCGGCATGTCGTATGTTTGATACACGGCGAGCCCTACGGGCGCCATGTGCCAAGGCAGCCAAGACTATAGCCAAGACTATATGCTTAGCCTAAGCGGGAGCATACATATAAGTCCAAATATATCTAGATATGAAGAGCCCTGCAACAGGCAGCACCATGGCCCCGCGGGGCCCATGGTCCTTCATACCTCGCTCCAAGGCTAAACAATACAATCAGCCCCCGGCTCACTTGGACTTGGATTGATAAACAATGGCCCGCGGCCCATTCTCCTACTTGGTCGCTTGGAAGCGAGCCCTTGGCTCTCTTAAACATTGAGATAAGCCCGCGGCCCATTCTCCTACTTGGAAGCGAGCCCTTGGCTCTCTTAAACACTAAGGTGGGCCCTGGCCCATTTATCTACTTGGATGCCTGGGTTGGGAGCAGGACCCAGGCACTACTGCCCGAGATCATCAGAGGATACTGGACTGGCGGTTGAGGTCATGGGATCGTCGAGATGGTTGTCTTCTTGCTAAGACAACTCTATCTCGACCAGGCTTGGAGAAGAGGCAACAATGACCTTACGTTCATGTCATCCGATCCATATACGAAATGTTACTTTCTGCCTGCCATGAAACGTTGCTCTCCGCCTGCCGGCATGCCACAGACGGCAGAAGGGCTTATATCACTTCTGGCAGAGTTGAGGAGAACGAGCCACCTGTCCAACAGTTTGCTTGGGCTCCAATATTCCTGCGGCCTATATAACGTATCGTATATGCAGCGAGACACAACGACAACAATACAACTAAGTCTCATGCTTAAACACTCTCTCATACTTTACATTAGTGTTCAAAGGTCTATCACTGCCAACCTCTCCCTCTCCAAGCTTGCCTTGACCTCCCCTTCTCCACCTCCGGTGATCCCTAGCCATTGAAGTGCCTGCCATCTTCCCGGACTACCTCTAACCACACCTTTCACCCACATCCTTCAAGCAAATTACTTTTTCGAATAATACCTTAAAACATAATCTCTTAGTACATACCACCACAATCACCATTTCTTAGCACACACCATCGGCCACCACCATTAACTACCACCGCCGCCGCCGCGACCTCCTCCATTGTTTGCCACTTCTCTCAAATTTTGTCGCCTCTCTAGCCTTGTTGCACCTCTCTACCGCTACCCTTTTTCTCACTATTTCCACCTTCGACTACACAATTCTAGTCCAATTCCTTTCCTTTCTCATTTCCTTCCTTTGCTTCTCCTTCTCAATTTGCTCTTTTGTTGCACTCCATTTCCAGTCTTCTTGGATTTTAAGGTGTGGCGAAATTAGACAATAAAACTGAGAAGGAAGTGGTGATGAAAGAAGAAAAAGGCCAAGTGACACGAGGAAAGGAATTAAATTAAAATTTTAAAATTAAAAAAAAAAAACAAAAGTATTTTAATATTATTTAAATATATAATATAAATTGAGTAATTAACATGTAGTTAGAGAATATGCTAAAAGCTCCCAAACATAAATGTAACTAATTTAAAGGTGATGGTTTGACACCGATGTGGGACTCCCACCCATTAATGCTGCGGATAGCCTCATGCCGCATGCTGCTATTGGCTTTTTTGGGCTTTTGAAGGTTAATAATGTAATTTTAAGTGTGCCAGTAAGGATCAATAAGTCCTTACAAAAATTTTAATTGCCAACCAATTATCAGGCGATTGTGTTGAAATTTTTGTAGCCTCAATGAAGAGGATTTTTACTGGTGGCTTTGCTTAAGAGACGGTTTTAAAGATATGGAAAATAACAATAATAGATAAAAACAATTTTATGAACTGAATTTCATTAAATAATACGAACTTACAATGACCCAGCCTCAAAGAGGTTCACAGCAACAAATTACTTGAAATTACTCCTAAGAATTGAAGTGTAGTACATGAATTGAAGAACTAGGAATTTAAAAACTGGAAAGAAAAATATGAAATAAGTAGTTGATTTTTGGATCTGAGTCTGGGTCCTTCTGTTGGCCTTCTCTTCTATTTATACTTTCTAATGGTAATTGTCGTCGAAATGCCCTATCACAATCTCCGGTCATGGCCTCGCACAATTAGCTTCCACTACGCTATTCTTGCAGTTAGGCTTCCCTCCTGAATTTGAATTTGAATTTGAATTGTGAATAACCATTGGGCCATGTCATTTTGCGCCTTCTCCCTGCTCTAATGCTGTGCAGATCCATTATTACCAATATGAACTGCCACGTGTCCGTCATTGATTGGAGACTTACATTAACTCCTCAAATTACCCTTTACGAGCCATGTGCGATTGGCCTATACAAAATATATAGTCAACATTACCCTCCGCACTAATATACCCAATACTTGGTGATATTAGTAAATCAGTGTACTTTGCCCACGTCCTAGGACGTGCATGGACTTTGTTTATTTTGGAAGTGTAACCGTTTTCCAAGCAATGAAGCACTGAACTTCATTAAATTCTTCCTTGCGCTTTAAAGCTCCATTATCTGCATAAACCAATGGACTGATACCTCTCTTGATGGCTAACCAACCCACTTCTTTCATTGAGCAAGCATATGAAGAGTATTTGGACGATGATGATCAATCTCGAAAGAACCTTCATGCATTTATTGACCATATTTATCCGCCTCCATTTATACAAGTTATGGAAACTTTTGCACAATACGAGCCTCTAGACCAAGTACTTGCACAAATGGATCTGGGAAGCTCTTCATATGCTTAAAAACTCTGTGCATGGGATAAAGCTGCTTCCTCTTCTTCTAGAAATACTAGCTAGGGTACTTGGCCCTCACCCACTCAACCTCAAACAAGGGAGCAAATCCACCATCGATTTCCTGAATTTGATGACCTCACTGCAATCCATCCCTCTATGCGCAGCTTTGTAGTCTATCCATACGTTCCCTTCGACCGTTTTCGTAGCCTCGAAGACAACTTGCTTTTGGCATGGCACACTTCTACCTTGCCGACCAGAATAGTGCGAAAGACCTCGCAACCCATTAAAGCTTTGGGAATCAGCCCCTCACTCTTAGCCAAGAAAGCAAAACTTTACTCCTCTGACTGGCTAGAATATGTGAACGAGCCCCAGTTTCCACCTTCATTTAGAGGGAACCCAACTGCTCCTTTCCTACCTCCCAACCCTAATTGGATTGAGGAATTAAAACTCACCCTCTTCGAAAGCCAGCATTTTGCTCCCAACCAGGCTTCAGTTCCTCAAACTGCTTATCAGCAGTATAGAGCCCAGACTCTGCTTGTTGCTTTCTCTCACTTATCCTTCGAGGTCCTTCGAGATGACATTCCTCACAAGAACCTTTCATGGGCTTGTGATATTGTCTCTCGAAGCCACATTCTCAACCCTGTGGCCCAGGCAAAGCTTCACACTTTCCTGGATCAGCTCCCTTCACTGCTCAACTGGCACAAAAATGCTTCTGCTAGCAGTGAATCCCTAGAGGAGATCTCTCTGTTCGCATTCAAACCCAGTACAAGATTGAGAATCTTCTTGAAGAGTATGAGGACTTCAAGAACTAGGATTCAAAGTATGGAGAATATGTCAACATGGGTGATACGCATGGGAAGGGAGAGATGGATGAAGTGGAGAGAGCTCTTAAGCAAACAAAGTTTGAAATGAAGGCCTAACAACTCTTCTTCCAAATAAGGGCTTATCAATTAGATAAACCAAACTTAGATAGGATAGAAGAAAGGCT